TCTAGACAAGCCATGGGCAGCTAATATTTTAACCCTGTTAGTTTCTCAGTAAGAGCTTTCATTTGACCCGAATATGTCCTATCTTTTTGATTATCAATACACACACCTCCATTGTAAGATGTAAAAGTATCGAATTAAGGAAAATATAAATGAAATGTTATCGATATTTACAATAGTTGCCGGCGGCGGCGGCTCGATAATTTTAAAATTTCGAATACTATCGGCAGCGCGGCGGCTGTAATTAAAGTGCCTCAGCGGCGGCGGCTTAAAATTTTTCGAGTTTATCGGCGGCGACGGCGGCTCAGCCGCACGGCTTACACCTCTACCCACACCCACACACCCACACACCCACACCCACACTCACATCCACACCCACACCCACATCCACGCCCACCCCCAAGTTTCTTTAGTTCGGGAAATCTTTATTGTTCTGAAAATTTAAGAGGAGCTCTTATAATTCTGGGACACCCTGTATAATGTATATAGTTTTGACTCAATAGCAATTGCACTGTTCGGTATCTCTCCTTATAAATAAATAATGGAAAGAGCTCTGACATTGAGTCTGTTGCATGTGTAAATCAAGATCTACTTATTTGATTAGCCTCTCGTTTATGAAATAAACAATTGAATTAGTATATCGATCTATGTAAACTCTGATGCATTTAATTTAACTTGGCATTCAATAGAACGTTCAAGCATGGGTGCATCATGTACACGATCAAATACGGTTCTCCCAGTCAACACACAAGCAGTATCTACCGCAAGCAAAGATATAAATGATTTGCCTGGACAAACATTCACGACACCACTGGTACCCATCGAACTAAATGAAAATCTTGAACATTTCACTGTTATATGGCTTGATGCTGGAATCGACACTTCATCAGATTGTATTAATACAAAACAACATTTACTAAGTATCATTAATTATCTTAAAACATTTACCGATTCTGCCAAATGTATCGATTATATTAAAACTGTCAAAGAGGAAAAAGTGTTTCTTATTGTGTCCGGTGCATATGGTGAAGATGTTGTATCAGAGATTGAAAATCTTCCACAAATTCGCATCGTTTATGTTTTTTGCCAGAATGCTGAAAAACATAAAGAATGGGTGTCAAATCATTCGATAGTGCAAGGTATTTTTACCGACACGGAAAAACTTTACAAAAAACTGACAGAAGATGTTCAATTAGCTGATTCTAGTTTATTGTCAATTGCCATTTTGAGTCCAGATTCAAAAGAAAATCAAGTAACTGATTTAAATCAACAAAGTGCAAAGTACTTATGGTCACAAGTACTGATTGAAACTCTACTTCGATTCCCCAGTTCAAAAAAAGCAAAGAGTGACATGTTGAAGGAGTGTAGACAACAATATTATGAAAATGAACAAGAAATCAATATGATTCAAGAATTTGATGAAGAATATTGTGCAGAAAATGCTATTTGGTGGTATACGCGCGACTGTTTCTTATATAAAATCGTAAACAAAGCGCTACGAACGGATAACATCGATAATATTTTTAAGTGTCGCTTTTTTATAAAAGATCTGTACGATGAACTATCAAAAATGCATGCAACTTATATTACATCAGTATCGCCTATCATACATGTTTATCGTGGTCAATGCATGTCTATGAAAGAGCTGACCATAATAAAAGAAAACATTCATGGCAATATTTCGATGAATACATTTTTGTCTACGAGTACAGATAAGCGGACAGCATTAGGATTCGCCACGAGCTCTCCAATACGCACTGATTTAGCTGTTGTTTTATTTCACATTGAACTAGATTCTACGTTAGCCACAAAACCGTTTGCCGATATTCAAACTGAAAGTTACTTTGAAGCAGAAAATGAAGTTTTAATAGCTATGGGCTCAACATTCTGTATCAAAAAAGTTGAACAGGATGAACAAGAAATTTGGAATGTAAATTTAGTTTGGACAAACGAAGAGGACGTAGAACTACTAACGTACATGAAAAAATCACTGGGCCAATCGACAAATCTGGAAACACTAGGTTCAGTTCTTATCGACATGGGTGAATTGGTTAAAGCCGAAAGATATCTCAAGCTCTTACTTGAACAATTACCTGCCAATCATCCCTCAGCTGGCAACATATACCTTCAAATGAACACCATTGCACTTAATCAAAGCAATATCGAGAAGGCATTGGGATACTTAGAAAAAGCAGAGGCAATAATTAAAATGTCTCATTCCATTTCCCATTCATGTTACGGTTCACTTTATTATAATACGGGACTAACAAAACTAGCACAACTGGATATCCTCTCTGCACAACTGAATTTTGAAAAAGCAACAGAAATTTTCTTGAAAAATACACCTTCAAGTAACGTTCAACTAGCTGCTACCTATGCTCAAGCAGGTTTTTTGTTTTCTTTTATTGGCGAGCCATTGATTGCGTTAGATAAACTGAAAAAAGCACTGGACATTCAACTCGAAAATTTGCCCACTTATCACCCAGATATTGGAAATACGTATCGTTTGTTGGGACTCGCACAATCATTGTCAGATTTGGTTGAAGATGGGCTTCTTAATTTACGAAAAGCATGGGTGATTTTCCGTAAGTCACTCTCTCCATCTCATCTAAAATGCATACAAACGTGCCTTCAGTTATGGATCCTGTATAGGGAAAAGAATGACGTTTCGGAAATTGGTTTTTTTTCTAAAGAATGCATGGAGAATTTACCAAATCTGCTCACACAAGCTGACTTCGATACGAATATTGTATCTTTGCTGGTAACGACCACCAATGACCTCGATATCAATGTATACATGAAGCTCATGAAAAATCTGCTACAAAGAGTTACACCTTTGGAGCGTGCGGGTATTAAACTTACAGAAATGGGAACACAGCTTAAGGCTATGATGCAGTCAGAGAATTATGACGCCGCTTTAGAACTGCTCGACAAATGTCTCCTATATTGTCAACAAACTTTTATATCAATACCTTATGTGATAGCTTATGTGTATTTCACAAAAGCGACCATTTATAGACAAAAAAAGGACTTCGTTGTAGCGTTAAGCAATATTGACAAAGCAATAGAAATCTCACCTCCTAACAACGCAAATATGGTGAGATATCAACTACTTTCAGGTGATATTTGTCGTGAAGAAGGCGATCAGAAAATGAATCTCAATGACCTGGATGCAGCTCTAGTAGCCTATACGAAAGCAGTCAATATATATATTACATACATACAACCACCAGTACACGAAGCTATTTCTCATGTTTATTGGTTAATTGCAAGCATCCATATCAGAAAACATGAATTCGATTTAGCCAAGACTAATTTATTCAATGCACGCAATTCCTTACCAACAAATTTATTAGGACCACAACATTATCTATATAATGTCGAGCAAACTTTGACTTATTCAATTTTTAGAAACAGCATTAAGGAAATGGTCAACAGATTAGACAACGATGCATTAGACGGTTTTCAAAAAGCTCTTTCCATTTTTGCACAACAAATTTTTTTGTCAACTTATGACATTGCAACCACCCATTTCTTCATTGGATATTTATACACAAAGATGGCGGATAAATCATTAGCTGCAAATCATTTTCGTTTTACGATAGATTCGGCCGTGCCAAATCATCCAGTAAAAACACTTGCAAACGAAATTTCTTCAGAAATAAAGCAACAAACTCTTGATTTCATTCTTGCTGATTTGCTTCTCATATATTCGAAGATATTCGAAGCTGAATATGTGCCTCATTTATACGAAAAAGCAATCTTTTATTGTCAACAATGCCCTAATGAGTTATCTCGGGTGAAAATTGCAACCCTAAACCTTCAAATTGGATTAATTTATAAAACTGCCGAGAATGATAATCTTGCAAAAAAACATCTCGATAATGCTTATGCTATCATGCCACCAGACTCTGAAAGTATCGACGAATCTGAAAAAAAATACTTTTTGGAGTTAGCGGAAGCACAATTTAACTATGCTGACTATTGCATTGGCCAATCTGACTTTAACACAGCGTTTCCATTGCTTAAAAAGTCGCTTCACATTTATGAAATGTTGATACCCTTAACAGATCCAAAAATTATAATCATTTACCGTAAATTGGCTGCAGTATACGCTACTCGATTTGATGTTCCATTAGCAATAATGTGTTTAGAAAAAGTGGTCGCTAATCCAGTAAATCAAGCGATGTATGAGGAGAGTAAGTGTGACTTTCGATATAATAAGAAGAATAAAGAAAATGCTGGTGTAAGTATACTCTGCATGCACATACATCCTTGCTCGTTTCAATCGAATCGAATCGAATTATTCGAGGATTTAATTCCATTTCAGTCTGGTACATACGCATGTGTAACTCAAATTCTGTTGTGCTTCAACGTTTTCTTTGTTAAATTGATTCGTCCTATCAAACGGATATTTTTCATACTTGCAACTAACAAGTGAACTTTTTTAGGTATTTCGTTTCCTTTGAATTTCAACGAATTTTTACTCCGGAATACTACAAAGTGTCCTAGCAGTACCCCTCAAAGAATTTTGATCAATGTGTCCATTTTGTAGTGGTTCTAAATTTTCGGAAATTTTTTGTACCCATAGAAGTCAAGTAGACAAGCTGTAATTTAAAAAAAATCCAGAATTGTTGAACGAAGTCTACGAAATATAAAACGTACAAAATATCGACGCTCTTCATGGACAGTGCACGCCACATGTATCTTTTAAAAGTCTCATGTCTTCAAGAAACTGTATTCACGAGTTCAGTGTTTTTCATGGAAGTTTCTCTAGTTAACATCGATTTGTACACCAGTTTTCCTAGAACTTGGGACCTCTACACAACGGATGCACTGTAAATTCAATAGCCAAGTTAAATCTCAATATGCGCCAAAATCCTTTTAGAGTTTTGACTAGGATGTTATGCAGTATCAGTAGACAAAAGTTCATCGGAATCAGTGGAAGAAGTACCCGAGAAAGTTCTCTCGTGAATCAAGTATTGCTTATTCAACTTTTAGCTAACACTATCAGAATGTAGAATGATTAGAATATGTGTAAGAACTTTTTTCCTCCCTAATGTTTACATACTTTATCGATAGAAACATACAGTTTGTTAAGACAACTCTTGCCAAACAAAGATATTTTATATCCTGTCAGTCGATGTACAGAGGACTTTTTTGATCTCCAATCGATATAAAAAACGAGAAAAGGCGACGTAGTTTTGTACCACGATAAAAGTTTGTGTTTGTTGCTGCTGCTGCTAATTTTTGGTTTTTTAAGGTTCACGCTGTCTACAAACGCTGCGACTTGGATCGTTGGGATTATCGAATGTGAGTAAATATATTTTTCAAAGTGTACTGATACCAGATAATGCAAGTGATTTCTATGAAAGCAATAATTATATCATATTATACTATTTATTTACTTAGAAGTACCCAAAAGTAGGAGCGCCATTATCAAATTTCCTTATAGCAAGCTTTAAAAAAAATTCTTTTTTATAAACAGATAGAGTATCTTTCGCTCTATTTTTCTATGCTATTTGATCACTATTCAACTGGTATCATGATAATCAAATTTCGATAAGAACGGTTTTTTGCTGAAAACTAACTGGTAGCATTAGATCATAACAAGACCTATAATAATGGTTGAACATTGTATTTCATATTTTAATCTCTAAATACGTTTTATTTAAGAAAGAGAATATACCACAAGATGCGGCGTGAAAAGCTCTACAATCTGCATAATAAAGCTTATTTTACAGTGCGCTTTTTTTCTAAAATTTTTTAGAACATTCGAGAAAGTTCTAGAAGTTTCCATACTAAGGGTATATATATGGAGTGTGAAAATCTTTCGAATGATAATGAAACCATCGATATGGACGTTGATCATGAATTGAAAATGAATCTTTCTCATAGAGAGATTCAAGTGCCTTTACTTCATGAATTCCATCTGAGTCACAAAGCAACGGAAGCAGCCAACAACATATGCAGCACGATGGGCGAGGATGTACTCTCCACCTGTACGGCACAACATTGGTTCAATCGTTTTAAGAACGGTAATTTTGAACTCGATGATTTACCTCGCTCCGGTAGACCAATGGAATTGGATGCGGATCTCTTAAAGCAGCTTATCAAAGAAGATCCTCGATTGACTTTACGGTGTTTAGCAGAGCAGCTTGGGCGCTCTCATACTGCAGTGAAAAAACATCTGAACAAATTAGGCAAGACATGGAAATATGGAGTTTGGATACTCCACGAGTTATCACCACATCAGCTTCCACGCAGGGTTAATGCTTGTATGGATTTAATGAATCTCACCGCAACTACCAATGGCTCCGCAATCTTATCACTGGCGATGACAAGTGGGTGTTGCACATTAACTACACGCACAGACGTCAGCGGCGGAGCGCTGGTCAAACAGGCGTAGCAACACCTAAGGCTGATCCACATCCCAAGAAAGTGATGCTGAACGTTTGGCGGGGTGTCAATCGGATTATTCACTAGGGAATTCTTCCAAATGGTTGCACCATCACTGCTGATCTCTACTGTCAACAATTGGACCGGATTCCAGAAAAACTCAAGGGAAAGCAAGATCGAATTTATTATTTGCATGATAACGGAAGACCCTATATTGCAAAGTCGACTCGCGAAAAATTGTTGAAGCTGGGATGGATTACCGTTCCTCATCCACCTTATGCTCATGATTTGGCTCCAACGGACTACTACTTATTTCGTTCTCTTTCGAACCATTTACGCGAGAAAAAGTTCGTCGATGAGAACGACGTCAAAATGGAACTCGTCAATTTCTTCGATCAAAACTCCCAGAACTTCTACAAACGCGGGATCCTATCCCTGTCAGAACGTTGGCGACAAGTGATAGATAGTAGTGGTGCATATATAATTGAAAGCTAGTTGTACCGTTGGAGTTGAAACATAAAAATAAAATTTTTGAAAAAAATGCAAAAATTTTGTTGACAATCCCATAGGTCTTGTTATGATCTAATGCTACCAGTTAGTTTTCAGCAAAAAACCGTTCTTATCAAAATTTTATTATCATGATACCACTCTCAAAAAAAAAAAGGAGTTTTGCAGAACCCTCCAAAAAGGTTCTGTAGATTTCCAAAAGGCTCCAAATGTGCCCAAAGTCTCAAAAAAAGGATAAAAAATTCGACAGAACCTTTTGAAGGTTCTGTGGAGTATCCACTAGCAGAACCATCTCTTGCAGAACCTTTTTTTAGGTTCCGTAGAGCAAAAAAAGGTTCAGTGAAAAAGTACGAAACCTTGAGAGTTCTGCACAAAACCATTAACGTTTCGCGAGAAACCCTAAGGGTTCCGTACTGAGGCCTAATGGTTTTGTACAGAACCTCCAAGGTTTCGTACTTTTTCACTGAACCTTTTTTCGCTCTACAGAACCTAAAAAAAGGTTCTGCAAGAGATGGTTCTGCTAGTGGATACTCCACAGAACCTTCAAAAGGTTCTGTCGAATTTTTTATCCTTTTTTTGAGACTTTGGGCACATTTGGAGCCTTTTGGAAATCTACGGAACCTTTTTGGAGGGTTCTGCAAAACTCCTTTTTTTTTTGAGAGCAGTTGAATAGTGATCAAATAGCATAGAAAAATAGAGCGAAAGATACTCTATCTGTTTATAAAAAAGAATTTTTTTTTAAAGCTTGCTATAAGGAAATTTGATAATGGTACCACTACTTTTAGGTACTCCTAAGTACACGGTTGGAAATAATATTATTCCAGGAGGGTATCGCTATAATTTCAAATAGAAGACATAATGAATTTTATATCAAATGAAAGCTCGTCAAAAACGGGATTTATTGATACTAAATAGTGATGGTTATAAAAACTTTTTAATGTCAAACTTAAGAAATTTTATACTTTTTTGGGGTGGAAAATTAAGGTACCAGTAATTCAAAAATGGAATAACATTTTTTCCTTGGATAATTTTACATGGTTTGATAGAGCTCGTCGAGCTCTACAAAACTGTATATGTTAAAAATTTTTTAAGCCATATTTTTGAGATAAAAAGTTCAAAAAACTACTCGGAAACCCTCAAAAAACGTTTAAAAACCCCTTTTTTTTCAAATTGAAGAAACATGCTCGATTTTTCAATAAAAGTAGCCTTTTTCATTATTTTTACTACTTCAGACGTCTCGAAATATACTCATTTGATGCAACGTGAAAAACTGCGTCGAATGAGTAAATTTCGAGACGTCTGAAGTAGTAAAAATAATGAAAAAGGCTACTTTTATTGAAAAATCGAGCATGTTTCTTCAATTTGAAAAAAAAGGGGTTTTTAAACGTTTTTTGAGGGTTTCCGAGTAGTTTTTTGAACTTTTTATCTCAAAAATATGGCTTAAAAAATTTTTAACATATACAGTTTTGTAGAGCTCGACGAGCTCTATCAAACCATGTAAAATTATCCAAGGAAAAAATGTTATTCCATTTTTGAA